TAAATTGAGTGCAGCCGGAACTCCGGAGCCAAAGCATGCTTAATTACATTGGGATCTCTACAGGAGAGGACTCAAGCTGCCAGGAGCACACTGTGGTCCATGTAAAACCAAAAAGTACCAAGAACCAAAAACCAAGTACAGCCAGCAAGAAAACCCAACAGGGGTCAGGGATGAGCAAAGGACCTGCCTTGGGCCTGCGGCTTCAGCCCTGGCCTGAAGACAGGGGGGGGAGTTCAGGCAGGCTGAGAACAACCCCATCCCAACCCCTCCCATCACCACCTGGAGGACTCACTATGCTGACCGAGCCACGTTCCTACAGCCCCTTTCCCTGGTACCAAACGCCACCATCCAGACCTGTCCTCCTAACACCTTCCAGCCCTCCCTGCCTGCAAGGCTTCCCACCCTGAGCTGACCGGAGCATGAGCAGTCCATGGAGCAGCTCCTCCCCCTGGCGGCCAGATGGGGGCATTGCAATGGGGCAAAGGACAACCTGACAACCAGAGGAATGAAGGTTGCATCCCCGTGACCAGGCTGCTCACCGGGCAGGTGCAGAAGCTGAGGTCACAAGCAGCAAAGCAGGTGAGCACCAAATCCCTCGGATATTGTCTGGACAGGAAGGGTAAGAAAAATGGGTGACTCCTGTGAGCACATGTCACAGAAAGGGAATCTTGAATGACCAATGAACGAGTGTAAAAGGGATTCAGAGAGGAGCAAAAGCCAGTCACGTCTACACTGCCACTTCACAGCTCCCCACAATGAAACACGGAACACCAGCAGCACGAATGGTCCTGTCCTGGCGGCTCGATGCACTCCAGTAGCAAACGCTTTGGAAAGCGGCTGAGCGTGGCTGGGTAAAAAGTGGAGGTGCAGGGGGCAATTTAAGGGTGTGTCTGTGTAACCAGAGAATGACAGCACAGGAGAAAGAGGAAAGGCTTGGTGCAAGCTACTGCGGCATCCAGATGTCCCACGGACTGGAACGACTCGGGGCTGGGTATGGCAAACATTGCGCATGGGGCACCAGTATTTCTCCTTTCATCCTCCACAGACATTAAGACCTGCCTGGATTACAGACTAACCCTCCACCTGCAGAGCCGGCACCTCCCATAGAGGTGCCACTCAGAGTCCTGGCTGCTCCATTTCCGGTTTGGCTCCCTCCTTAGGGCCTGGGAAAGCAGCAGAAAGTGGATCCTGCATCCGTGTGGGAGACCCAGAAGAAGCTCCTAGCTGCTGATTGGCTCAGCTCTGGCTGTTGCGACCAGGAGGAGTGAATCAGCAGATGGAAGACTTCGTGCTCTGTCTCTCTTTTACTCTCTGTATGCTTCTCAGAGAGAAATAAGTAGTTAAAAATATTTTTTTTTTTTTTGCTTGGGACACCAGCATCTCGCAGGGAGTGCCTGGTTCAAGTCCAGTCTGTTCTCCTGTGTCCAGCTCCTTGCTCACTCACACCCTGGGAGGCAGCAGCTGATGGCCGTTGGGTTCTGCCACCAACTTGGGAAGCCTGGAAACAGTTCCTAACTCCTAGCTTTCGCCCAGCCCAAGCCAGGTCTGGCTGGTAGTTGGAAAGTGAACTAACAGATGGCAGATCTTTCTCTCTTTTTTTTTTTTAAGATTTTATTTATTTATTTTTATTGGAAAGGCGGATATACAGAGAGGAAGATCTTCTGTCCGATGATTCACTCCCCAAGTGAACGCAACAGCCGATCTATGACCGGTCTGAAGCCAGGAGCCTCTTCCGGGTCTCCCACGCGGGTGCAGGGTCCCAAAGCTTTGGGCCGTCCTCGACTGCTTTCCCAGGCCACAGGCAGGGATCTGGAAGGGAAGCGGGGCTGCTCGGATTAGAACCAGCGCCCATATGGGATCCCGGGCGTGCAAGGCGAGGACCTTAACCACTGCGCCCTCTTCTTTTTTTTTTTTTTAAGATTTATTTTATTTTATTTTTATTGGAAAGCCAGATATACAGAGAGGAGGAGAAACAGACAGGAAGATCTTCCGTCTGATGATTTACTCCCCAAGAGGCCACAACAGCCAGAGCTGAGCACCCATACGCCATATTAATCTCATAGACAGTGACTTTATGCGCTATGTCACAACACACAGAAGTTATGTTTTACTTTCGTCTGTACCTTTGAATATTTTATTATTAATTACTATTCTTGGAAAGGCAGATGTATAGAGAGGAGCATTGTACCATAGCTGTCCATCTTCAGGCTTTTCAGTGTGGGTGTTGTACTTTTCAACCCCACAATTCCCATTTTCTTCATAGCTTCTGCCCCTTGACTGATACTTCCTTATTTAAGCACAGTGGGTTTAGTGCTCTGGCTGTTTTGGACACTGGGCCCTCTCACAGGCAATTCCAGTTGTCTGATTTCTCCTGTGTATGGGTCACACCTTCCTAGTGACACTTCTGAGTTTGTTTACTTTGGGGGGGAAGTTTGGGTAACATATTCCAGCTTCCCCACCTCCTGACCTCCCAGCCTCCCTCCGAGGCACTCGCTGCAGTGTAGCTGGCTTGTTTGTTCAAGACTTGGACAGCGGATCTGGAGGAAGTGTTTCTCCCCTGGGTGCGTGAGCTCTAACCTAGCTCCTTGGAGTTGCAGCCTTGGACCTGCCCAGCCACTGAGATGACAATGGCTTCTGCAGAGCTCAGACAGCTTCTGCCCTCGACTGCTCGCCCAGGCCACAAGCAGGGAGCTGGATGGGAAAGGAAAAAAAGGAAAGCAGCCAGGACATGAACCGACACCATTTGGGATCCCGGTGTATGCAAGGTGAGGATTTAGGCACTGAGCCATCACACCAGTATCTTTCAGGCTCAATGATGTTTCTGTGCGCTGCCAATATGAGGGCACTTCAAAAAGCTCATGGGAAATGGAATTAAGATACATTTGGAGCCAGCACAGTAGCCTAGTAGCTAGAGTCCTCACCTTGCACATGCCAGGATCCCATGTGGGCACTTGTTCATGTCCTAGCAGCCCTGCTTCCCACCCAGCTCCCTGCCTGTGGCCTGGGAAAGCAGTCGAGGGCAGCCCAAAGCCTTGGGACCCTGCACCCATGTAGGAGACCCAGAAGGGCTCCTGGCTTCGGATTGGCTCAGCTCAGGCTGATGAGGCCACTTGGAGAGTTAATCAACAGATGGGAGATCTTCCTCTCTGTCTCTCCTCCTCTTTGTATATCTGACTTTCCAATAATAAATAAATAAATGGGGTTTTTTTTAAGATACATTTATTTCATTGCAAGAAAAACTGAAAATCATGCGTAGTTTTTTTCTGTGAACTTTTTCAAGTGCCCTCATTCTAGGATCTTGATTGTCGTCCAGGCAGTCTGCCTTTGGTTTGGAAAGTTCAATCAATTCTGTTAATGTGATCCTGGGCATTTCCTGCTTCCTGGCCGGTATGTCTCACATTTTTGTGGCTGTGTATTTCTCTTTTATCACTTTCTTCTGTACTGAGTTTTCCAGTGTAATGTCATGCACGCTTATTTTGTGTATTCTGACAAAACACGAGAGGCTGCGTGCCATGGGAAGAATTTGTTCGGCTCATGTTTGTAGCTCTCCTTGCTTCCAACAGAATGGTGGTGGTCCAAGCCATCAGTGGTCCCCTAGCTGTGTCACAGCATGATGGAGAAGGATTGGGCAAGTGGTTGCATGCAGAAGGTCTAAGCAGTGGGATGGCCTTCCTTCATCTACCAGGAGATAAAATTAATCCCCTCGTGAGTGTGGTACCTTCAGGATCTGGGCACTTAAAGATCTCACCATGACAGGGGGACCTCACGGGCCTGTTATCAAGGGCATTATGTACTATTAACTACCGTGACGTTTCCAACAGGTGGTCAGTGCAGCACACGGAGCACACCGGCTAAGCATCAGCCCCCCAGCCCCGGCTGGGTGTAGAGCCAGGGCTGCCGAGCTTCGGGCCAGCCCTGCAGACATGACCCACGGCAGGTCCTGGCAACCCGGCTGGGCTCACTCCGCGGCAGCTCACAGGACCTTCCGTGTTTCTGAGGGAAAGTGAGAAATGAAGTGATGTGAATTCTCTATTCCCAGCCTTTGGTCTTCAAGGCACTCCTGTCCTGCTGAAAATCCCTTTAAACGCATAGACGTATCAAATCCGGCTTAGAAATGGAGGCGGGGGGGGGGGGCGCTTAGAAATAGGACGGAAGGAAGGGGGGAAAGCAGGCAGCGACGCCTAAGCTAACATCACAAAGACATCTTGCCTAACGTGCCCCCACCCCCAGGTCCAGGCCAGGATCTGGCTGCAGGAAACCCAGCCTCCACTCGGCACCTCCTCCCCTAAACGTTCACGCACAGATCCCCCCAGCACCCCTCGTCCCATTCATCTCCCTACACACACTCCCTTCTTCCCCTTTAGCCGCCGGGCAGTCACGCCACGCCTGGAGCTCACAACGGGCTCGGCAACCTGGAGTACCCCGACTTCTCGCAGGAACCCCTCGGCTACTCCTCCAGGACGCCTTGCTGGGTGTTCCGGAGCCACCCGGCTTCCCAAGCCGGCTTAAACCCAGCTGATCCGTCTTCACACGGCAAGGGCCCCCGGCACCTGTCTCGGTTTGGCAAAATGACTTCACACACGCCCGTCCAGCAAGTAATGCCCACCCAATACAGGTGCCCAGGTCGGCGCAGGCACAGGGCCGCGGAAGACGAGACAGCCCCGGAGCCTCCGCCACGGACACACACACACACACACACACACACACACACTCACACGCCACCTCGCTCTAGTCCCCATGTCTCCACACCCCATTCCTCCACAGAGGCGCGACGACGTAACCTTACCCGGCGCGCCTACAGCGGCCGGATCTGCGCAGCCGCACACTGCCGACCCCGGCGTGCCTCGCGGTGAGGAGCGCGGCGCGGGGCGCGCCGGGAGTTGTAGTCGTGGCGGGCTGACCGGAGGACCGGCCGGCCGGCGGGCGAGCGTGGCAGGAAGCGGAAGCGGCCCGCCCCCGACCCCGCCCCGCCCCGCGCCGTCGCCGCTCGCCGTGCGGACTAGCACTGACGTGTCTCTCGGCCGAGGCCAGGCTGGGCCGCGCGGGCAGCGCCTCCTCATTGGGAACGCAGCGGAGCCCAGGCGGGACGCCGAGCCCGAGCAGCCGCCGCCATGGCGAGTGAGTGGTCCGCGTCGGATGCCCCCGACCCGCCCTGACCTCGTGGCGCTGCGGGACCGCCTCGGGCAGGCCCGCCCGGGACCCCCGGCTCCTCCGCGCTCGTCCTGGGGAGGGAGACTTTGGGAGATCGCGGTCGGTTCCCTTGGTGTCCTGACGCCTCTTTTCTCTTGTTTTCTCCCATCCGAAGTCAAATTTCTGGAAGTCATCAAGCCCTTTTGTGTCATCCTGCCGGAAATCCAGAAGCCGGAGCGGAAGGTAGGTTCTTCCCCCGTCCCTGGGCGCCGTCGGGGCGGTCGGGGCGCTGCAAGTTCACGATACCATTAAAGATGGCTTCGAGGCGCCCTGTGGGTGAACTCCTCTCTCACTTCCCCCTGGAGAGGAGGTGATGGTGGGTCCGGTGGGCCGTCTGTCTGGGAGCTGTCGGGGTGGACAGAGATGGGCCCTGTCCCAGAGATGGGCCTCACGGACCTCCAGCAGGAGCAGGGAGCCTGTGGCTTTCCCCCCCCCCCCCCCGCTGGCAGGGATGCCCTTTGGACCTCCAGCTGTTGGGAGGAGATCCCCTTGGTCTGTATGGCAGGAGTGGGTGCCTGCTGTGGAGGTGGTCGCCATCCCGAGAGGAAAGGCGTCCTGTGAAGGGTCCTGCTGTTGGCAGCAGGTGCCTGGAAGGGAGTCAGTGTTGAGCCACGTTGCGTCCTGATCGGAGTGGCCGCACAGCTGTCACACGATGATGGAGACAGCCTGCCCTCGGTTCCTGTGTTAGTGCACTCACAGATGTTTACGTGTGTTTGACATCCACGTGAGTGGGCTCTTGGCACTGCGTTATTCTGCTTAACTGTAGTTTATACTCTGACAGGTATCTTGTGCGCATGGGCCCTGCTCCCAGCTGCAGCATAGTGGAAATGGTCTTAGCTCTGTAGCCAGGCCACCCCAGGTCCCACCCTGCACACAGCCTCTTATAACCATGTGACTGGCCTTGTAACTTAAGTGGCAGGTGGAGTAAGGGAAAGGCAGCCGCAGCTCAGGAAGGGGTTTATTCTGGAACAGGTAACATCTGATGGTGGCCAAGAAGGACAGCTCCTTGGAGGGGGCAGAAAGGAACTGCAGGGAATGGAAATGGCCGTTCAGCCCTGGGTCCTCCAAGGGGGAGAAGGCTGGGCTGTTGTGTTGGACAGGAGGTGTTAGTGCGAGTTCAAGAGGACAAAGGGGGCTGGGGAGCCTTGGAGAGGTGCGGGGGACAGTTGTGGGAGGAAGGGAAAGCTTAGAGTGGGCACAGAGGCCCTCACGGGTGGGGGGCTGGTGCAGAGGGCAGGAGCGATGTGGGCAGAGAGCTTTGGAAGTTTTGGTGTTGAACTTGGTCGTCGTATCCGGCAAACTTGACGACAAAGGGTCTTTCAGCACAGCTTGTTGTCGGATTGGATTAGCGCGAAGCTGTTAGCTTCTGGGCCAATTTCTCCTCTGGTACAGTAGGGGGGTAGGTGGGAAAGGGAAGGATTCTTGGCAGGAAGAGTGGACACCGGGGTTCCCCAGGGCCCCCCAACCTTTGTGTGAGTGATGTGTCATGACTCGCTCCGTGGGGAGTGGGACAGGACGCTGCCACAGAACTCCTGTGGGATTCTCTTCCTCTCGAGGGACAAAGGGTTTCCATAGACAGCGTTGCTCACGTAAGACTGCCCGGCGCTCGGAGGCTGCTTCCATGTCGGAATGCCAAGCTTGCCTGGCACTGGTGTTTGTTGGTGTCTCTGAAGCCACTGCGCAGTGCAGGCGGCCCTGGGCAGGTCGGTCACTCTGGAAGCGAAGATGGAGCACTCCCACTCTGCTGCTTACAGAGGAGCCTCATGGGCAGGGGTGCTCTCCTGCTTTTTAGCCACAGGGACAGACCTCCATGCTGATCCCTCCCCGGACTCCCACAGCAGCCAGGGCAGGGCCAGGAGCAGAGCAGGGAAGGAGGCAGGATCCCAAGGGCTCCGTGCGCCTCTGCCTCCCACGGTGTGTGTGAGCAGAAGGCCGGGTTGGAAATTCAAACCAAGCCCTTTGAGAATGGGGGTGCTGGCATCTCAAGTCACAACTTGATCCACTGTGCCACAAGGCCGGCCTTATGAGCATCGGCTCTGTGGTGGACACGGCCCAGAAGATGTGACCTTCTGTGAAGAGCGCTTCCTGGGGGGCAGTGACTGTCGGCGTGCCGCTTTCCCTGGTCACCTGCCAGGTGAAAGCACAGCTTCGCACTCCACCCACTCCAGCCGTGGGATTGGAGACAGGTCACTCAGATGTTCTAGGGTTCTTTATTTCTGTAAAACGATGCCAGCGCTGGGTGGTGCGGGTGAAGCTCGCTGGCCAGAGGCCCTGTGGAGCTTTGCCGAGCAGCTGTGGTGTGTGGTGCCTCGTTCTGGCTCCAGGTTCGTCTCTGGTGAACAGAGGAAAGGATCTGATGTCAGTCCGTGTGCTCTGACTCGCTCCAAAGCTCACCCAGGGGCTCTGATCCGTTCTCTCCTGCTCAGATCCAGTTCAAGGAGAAGGTGCTATGGACAGCCATCACCCTCTTCATCTTCTTGGTGTGCTGCCAGGTAAGCAGGGCTGTACAGGGCGCAGTCGGCATGGTGTGGGGCTGAGCTCGGAGTGTTTGTGCCAACCTCCTTCTCGTGGCCCGCAGATCCCCCTGTTTGGCATCATGTCTTCCGATTCTGCCGACCCCTTCTACTGGATGCGAGTGATTCTGGCCTCGAATAGAGGTAGGGCTCCGTCCTTCCCTGCCTTCTCTCACTACACTGTGGGCTTGACCGGTCTCACTTATTTTACTTACCAGGTTTGGCTTTCCTAAGGAGCACAGAGTATTTGTGGAAATCCATGGCTTGGGAAATGCGTGGAGTGTTCGTTTGCCACACTAACTAGCCTGATTGCCTGCTGACTTCCTGCATTGGCAGTATTTGCCACTGTTTGCAGCAGCACAAATCCGTAATGACAAGATAAGCTTACATCGCAGAGAATAAAAGAGCCGGATGGAAACAATATTGTATATATACCTGAAAAGATGGCATTTCATTGATAGCATTCTTTAGACTATGTAATTTGTTTTTTCAGCTGCATTTTTATATCTATAGGTTACTTATAGCTCAAAAAATGTGTAACAGTATTTGTATGCTCTAACTAGGTACCTGTAGGTGGGGGGGATTCTGAATGAGTCTGTAGATACTGTTTGATTAATGCTTTTTTATAATATAGTTCAAATTAAATTCCAAATCAGGTGGAAATACAGCTCATTTGAGTGTGGTAAAAAGTAGAGTTGTATTCACAACTAGATACAATTGTGCAGGTCCCCTTTCCTGACTGGAAATATTTGAATGTTATCCAGATATTCTATTAACTGGAGATATTCCATTATCCAGATACTCTATTTTTTCTTATCTCTGTAAAACCAGAGTGAACCTGTTTATGGGGAATTTAAACACAGCCGCCTGCTGGGTGCCATGTGACTTCCCAGGCAGAGCGAGATGCCACCTGGCTGGCTGGACAGAGTGAGTCACATCAGACCAGTTATTCTAGAAATTAATGCTGCTAGCAGACAAGCCCGTGGAACTGTCTAAGGGGCCCCCTGTCAGATTCTGCTTCCCCCACAAATACTGTGTACTTTTGCAAACTACGTCACCTGCGTCTCCCTGCCCTCCCCAGGCACACTCATGGAGCTGGGCATCTCGCCCATCGTCACCTCGGGCCTCATCATGCAGCTCTTAGCTGGCGCCAAGATCATTGAAGTCGGGGACACGCCGAAAGACAGAGCTCTCTTCAACGGAGCCCAGAAGTGTAAGAGAGTGACCATTGCTCTGTGCCTGTAATCCAGAACTTGCATGTGCTGCGCAGTTGGTGACTCACTTTTGTCCCAGGTGCCATGGTCAGCTCGCCTGCCAACTTTGCACTTGCACCCTGTTGGGTACCACTTCCAGGGGTAGACATACCAGGCAATGCCTGGGGGCGGGCAGGGCAGAGGTTCCTGGGGTCCCGAAGCTATGCGATGAAGTGGAAGGAGCCGGGCCTGAATGCTCCCCCTTCAGGGCTGCGAGAACCAAGCTCAGTCCCTGCCTCCCAGGGCCCAGGGCAGCCAGCAGGCGGGTGGTTTCCGCCTTCCGGCTTTTGAAGGGTTTAAGGGAGGAGAGGAGTGGTCCCCTCGTGCACCCTGCTGCCTCCTGGCTCTGTGATCGCAGGACCGAGCAGAGAGCTCTTAGGTCTCGGTGTCTGTGCTTGTTAATAAATTAACCAGCGTTCCTGTCAACAGTGACCATCATTACGTCAGGTAACTGAGCTGTATTCATTAGGAAATGACATTCACACTTCTCCCTCAGTGTGTTAGCTGGATTTCTTAAGTTAGTGTAGTAAATAATTGAGTGAGAAATTCATCTCATTTGCCATTTTTAGATGCAAATCAGGATTTTAAATGTACACACAACATTTTTCAAAAGCGCAAGACAGCTTTTGTCTCTTTGTCAGGATAGTTCTTTGGATTTGTGTATTTGCACTGACACTGTGGTATCACAGGTTAAGTCTACATAAGCATGGGGCTGGCGTCCCATATGGGTGCTCATTGGAGCCCTGGCTGCTCCGCTCCTGATTCCAACTCCCTGCTGATGTGCCCAGGAAGATGCGGGCAGTGGAATATGGCCCAAGGCAGGTGACCTCCCACTGACTGTGCTGCTGCCTGTGGTGACCACAGCTTTGTCTCTGCATTTGTCTTGAAATGATTTGTCCTTCATTCACCTTTCCTAACAACAAAGTTTGCTATATTGCAACTCTTACTCCCCCTGGTTCTAGAAGGAAAGATGAGGCTCAAGACCAAGAGTGCTTTGGTGGAAAGCATTTGTCATAGGTGCTGCTGTGTCCCCAGCCACACCCATTGGAGGTGGCACTGCCTTCACCTTTGGCCTCCCGCCTCGCACGGTGGGTGTGCCATGACCGTTTCTTCTGGCAGTGTGGCTTGCCCCACCTTGAGAACATAGCTTTCTGTTTCCTAGTGTTTGGCATGATCATCACCATCGGCCAGTCCATCGTGTATGTGATGACAGGGATGTATGGGGACCCTTCTGAAATGGGTGCTGGAATCTGCCTGCTGATCACCATCCAGGTAACTCCCCTTGCATTGGGGGGACCCCTAGTTTGCCCTCCTGAACCCAGCAGGAGGGGGAAGCTTGCAGAGGGCGAGCTGTGACTCTGCCTTTGGCTCATGTGTCAGAGAACCTGCTGATGAAAGGAGGAGAAAACTGCATGCTGTGGGCGGTTAGACCATCTCAAGGTTTCTTCTCCGTTGGTTTTTAATCTTGCAGCTCTTTGTTGCTGGCTTAATTGTCCTGCTTTTGGATGAACTGCTGCAGAAAGGTTATGGCCTAGGCTCAGGAATCTCCCTCTTCATTGCCACCAACATCTGTGAGACCATCGTATGGAAGGCGTTCAGCCCCACGACCGTCAACACTGGCCGAGGTAAGGGCCCTCAGCTCCCCAAAGACGGGAGTCCGGACCCCCAACCCACAGAATACTGTCCTTTGGAGGCGTGCCGCGTGAGTCCTTCTCTGTGCACCTGCAGGTTATTTTTTCTTTTCTTTTGTTGTTTGACACATGAAGATGGCTAACTTGCATTTTTCATGCAGGAGTATGTCATGGACATGTGGCATACTAGAATGTGTAATGCTGTGATTTATTTGAGCATGAAGTTCGTTGCCAGGATAAGGCCAAGTTTATGGGAGCCAGTCATCTGGCAGACATTTAGATAATTCCTAATTTTTTGTTGTGTTAACATTAAGCATCCTCATGCATTTGACTCTCAGAAAATTAAGTTTCGAGAAAAAAATTGCTAACCCTTTTGAGATCTTAACCTGAACTTGGGCTTGCCCCCTGGGTTCAAAACCAGCTGCTCCTGTTAGTTGCGTGTGACTTTAACTTTGGATATATTCCTTCCCTTGTAACCTCGGTCGCCAGGATGAAATGGTATAATACTGGATTTGGCAATTTACGTTATGCCTAACAGTAACTACAGATCGGGTACTGGTATGTTCTGTTATATCTGCTAAAGAGAGCCGTGGACATTTGTGGCAGGAGATATTTATATAAAGATTTCTGACAGAAGGGAAACCTTAGAACAAGATTTGTTAGAACACAGGAGCCTATTTTTGTTGCTACATAGGTTACTCAGAACAGTCCCATGAGAAACGCTCATGCGTTTGAGTGTTTCCTCGGATCTGAATACTGGAAATAGTCCTGGCTTCCAGAAACCATGCCATGTGTTTACTGAGACCAAAAGTGGGTCCCTGGACAAGTGAAAGCTGCTGTGCCTTACAGAGCACAAAGCAGAGATGAAAGCCGAGGCAGGAAATGCCTTAGAGAGCGGGTCGGAATTTGAGAAACAGCTTAAAAATTAGATGATAAAATTTGAAAAAGCTATGGTCTATCCCTGGTACCACTGTTAACTACCTTCCTTTCAACAAGTATCTCTCACAGACTTATCAAGTGCTGGGTGCTGCTATAGATACTGGCAAAAACACATGTTAGGGTGTCAGGTGCTCTAACGGGGAGCCTGGGTAAAAAAGTACCAGATGAACTGCTGGAGAGCGTTGCTGCTGTGGTAGCTTGGATGGCCAGGGAAGGTGTCATTGGCAGCTGAGGAAAGTCCTGCAGGAGGTGAGGGCGGGCCTGGCAGAGCAGAGGCCCCGGGTGGAAGTGCACTGCTGTGTTCAGGATCAGTAGGTATAGCCAGAGCAGACTGAGCCAGGGCACGGCAGAGAGGTGGTGCGGACGGGCCCCCGCACAGGTCCCCTCCTCCTTTCCCTGGGCTGCCTGGGCTCCCGAGGCCAATCCCGTGGCTTAGGACAGGGCCTCGTGCCATCCGAGTAGGCCAGGAAGGGACCGCAGATGCTTCCGGGTGTCACCTATTAGGACACACTTCACCCCCGGTGGGACAGCAGCTGGGTTCCTTTACCGCAGTTGTCCCCTGCCTCCCCAGGAATGGAATTTGAAGGTGCCATCATCGCCCTGTTCCACCTGCTGGCCACACGCACAGACAAAGTGCGTGCGCTCCGAGAGGCCTTCTACCGCCAGAACCTGCCCAACCTCATGAACCTCATCGCCACCATCTTTGTCTTTGCGGTGGTCATCTACTTCCAGGTGCGTTCCAGCTGGCCATGGGCAACTGGCGTTTGTGAGGTGTTTGTATCCATCACATGCTCTTACTTGACCAAAAGATCCACCTGTTCCTTTTGCTGAGCCTGAGTCAAGGGTCTGTCCGGGCATGGCTGGCACTGCAGGCGGAGCACTGAGCACTGGTGCTGTGGTCCTCGGGCTGCCAAGCCCTGTTGCCAGTGAGGACCGGAAGGACACCGTGCCCCGCAGGGTCCCTTCGTGGGACACTGGGCTGCTCTGTTCAGGGTCACAGTCCCGCGGCCACTGAGTGGTGTGAGCTTGCAGAAGCACCCTTGGGCTTTGGGTGCATGCCCTTTCACCCTTCTCTGTGGTCCCACACGGGTGTGGCTAGAGTGTGGTCATTTGGTGTCTGATAAAAATAGACTCACTCTGCTGTGTTGGGCTTCAGCCAGCCTTCCTGGGGCCTCCTGTGTGTGTTCCCATGTAACAGTGGTGGTAGTGTGGGTACAGAGGGGTAGGAGCACTCAGGGGCTCTCAGAACTGACCCCCAGGACTGCCTCCCTCCTGGCCAGCCTAATCACCCAGCCTGTCTCTGAACAAAGCAGCGATGGGGCCTCGTGTTCTGTCTGCTCAGGGCTTCCGAGTGGACCTGCCGATCAAGTCCGCCCGTTACCGCGGCCAGTACAACACTTACCCCATCAAGCTCTTCTACACCTCCAACATCCCCATCATCCTGCAGTCGGCTCTGGTGTCCAACCTGTACGTCATCTCCCAGATGCTGTCCGCTCGCTTCAGCGGCAACTTGCTGGTCAGCCTGCTGGGCACCTGGTCTGTGAGTATAACTCTTGTAACCAAAAAATCATTTTCAGCAGGGGTGGGCATCAATGTGTATGGCTCACGAGCAGTATGCTATCCAGGGAATCTCCCAATCGTGCCTTTACAAATGCAGCACATTAAAGTTTGCATTCAGGAAACAAATGCACTTTGCGTACTGGGGTAAAGTTGTGTTGTTTTTTCAGAGTGACAAGTGCTGCTGCCTAGTTTCAGTGAGTCAGCCATCACAGGGCCCCTGTGGGGTGCAGGGCCACTTGGGATGGGCCTCTAATTCCCACCCCACGCCTACTGATGCTCCTGGAAGGCAGCAGGGGGCAGTTTGCGTACTCAAGTCTCCTCTGTTCACCTGGGAACCCCAGGTTGAGTTCCAGCTACCAGCTGCAGTGGCCCAGCCCTCCCCTTGGGAGCTCACAGTGGACAGGGAAATCTGTCCTCTGCCCGCTCACAGTGAGTGCGTGCAAGGGGGAGGCAGCAGCCCTCACGGCTTTTTCTTTCTTGTGTTTAGGACATCTCCTCGGGGGGCCCGGCCCGTGCTTACCCAGTGGGTGGCCTGTGCTACTACCTGTCCCCTCCAGAGTCCTTTGGCTCTGTGCTGGAGGACCCCGTCCATGCGGTCGTGTACATCGTGTTCATGCTGGGTTCCTGTGCCTTCTTCTCCAAAACCTGGATCGAGGTCTCGGGTTCCTCTGCCAAGGACGTGAGTATAAAACCATAGGCGTCTAGACACGAGCCTGTCGCTGGCCGAGGGGTCCTGACGTGTTACCTCCCCACAGGTGGTGGTTGGTGACGCACAGACTGGCTCTGCTCCTGCATGGGACAGCTGGGCAGTGTGAAGGGTCAGCAGATGGAGGCCAGCAGTGTACCAGCTTTACACTGTTGAGTGACATCCTGACAGCTGTCCCGAGAGCCTCTCTGTCAACACTGTTAGGGCTGGAAAAGAAACTCAGCCCGGTTTAGTGTCACGTCCCCCCGCTCATCCTCCTCCGCATGGTGCCCGCAGGTTGCTAAGCAGCTGAAGGAGCAGCAGATGGTGATGCGAGGCCACCGCGAGACCTCCATGGTGCACGAGCTCAATCGGTGAGTGCTGGCCCTGTGTGTGCTGTGCTATTCTCCACAAGGCTGGGCCTTGGGATTTTCTGGTTCACCAGGTCTCATTCTTGGCTTACAAGACAGTAAAGGTCCCTGTGCAGTGAAACAGTTAGGAAATGTCCATGTACCAGATATTGCAGATTGAAAAGGAAAGGCCCGGGGCTTCCCCCCTCAAAGTGAGGAGAGGACAGCCTGTTGCCAGGGGCAGTGAGGCAAGGGCCGGCAGTCGGGGATGGGGGTGCAGGTTGCGGTGGGCCTTCACTTGGCCCATACCTGTGGGCTGCTGAAGGGTACAGCCAGGTCCTGGCACCTGAGCACAGAGCCCCCCAGGTGGAAGTGAGGCCACCAAGGCTGGGCCTGGAAGAGGCCAGCGCTCTTTGACAGAGGAGGAAAGTCGGGCTGCCAGATGAGAACAACAGTCAGTGCCCGAGAGGAGGCCAGAGAGATGGCACACTGCTGCTGGGGATGGTGGCCGCACAAGGCAGATACGGGCATGGCCGGACCCAGGATGTGGCCCCGAGGTGATGGGGGCTGAGTTAAGGTGGCCTTGGCATGCCTCCTAGCACTCGTGGACTGCTTATCTCATCACAGGCAGTAGAGTGGCCCCTGGGTCCGGAGGGTGGCAGCTGGCCTTTCCAGCCTCAGCGTCTCTCACGGCTTTTCCATCGTCACTTGCAAGCAGCGAATCACATGCAGTACGCACGTGAGCATGGCTGTGTCCTGCTAAAGTGCTGGCACAGGCACGTGCTGAACAATTTTCCTATGGGCTGTACCTTTCCTGCCCCTTTGCTGAAGGAAAACACTACAAGAAAAGCCAGACTTGCACATCTGCCATCCCTAGCAGGGACAGCAGCCCCTCTTAGAGAGCATCCACTCTCTTAGTAGTAAGCCTCTAGATATTTGGCACTATTCATTACAAATGACAATACAAAGTCTCATAAGTTTTAAAAATGTGTAGTAGACACACTAAAATAAAAAAGCAATTAGTGGAACTAACATATATAATACTGAGTTTATCCCAGTGTATCCAGAGTTATCATTTCAACTAAAATTAACAGAGGACAAGTTGCAGTGAGGTGCCTTACCATCTTGTTTCCACATCATCTCCCCTTGGCTGAGCCACGTGGGGCCAGCGTGTCCACCTCATGGGCCACACAGCAGACCAGGTTACGAAGAGGTAGTGAGGTGGTCTGTGACTCAGGCTGCTGCATCACTGATGAACCTGCTGGCCGCGCAGCCCCAAGCAGGGCTCACCATCTGCCGCTTCCCCAGGTACATCCCCACGGCTGCCGCCTTCGGTGGGCTGTGCATCGGCGCACTCTCAGTCCTGGCTGACTTCCTGGGCGCCATCGGTTCCGGAACGGGAATCCTGCTCGCAGTGACCATCATCTACCAGTACTTCGAGATCTTCGTCAAGGAGCAGAGTGAGGTCGGCAGCATGGGAGCCCTTCTCTTCTGAGCCATGTCTCCCCAGGGACCCAGGGACCCAGGGAGGCCGGGAGCTCCGGGATAGCCCGGAAACTGGGGCTCCCCCCCATGGGAGAGCACTGCTGTGGCTTCGTTTGGACTTTGTTTAATGTTTGTTTATTTGTTTGTTTTTAAATTTCATATTCCTTCATTCCACTTTGTAAAGTGCTAGACATTCTTCAATTTGAAAATTTGCTTTTTATCCTGGCACTGGCCGAAGGACCCATACAAGTAGGTTGGTTGCACACAGTCATCTCCAAGCATCCAGATAACACTTATTTAGCCTCGGCATCTCCTCCGAGCCGGGCACAGCTGCAGTGGTCTCGGCCGACCCCCCACTGACAGAGCTGCTTGTCCTGGATGGAAGCACAGAGCTGCAGTGGCAGTGTGTGATTTGGGCAGGAGCGGGGGGGCCGGGGTTGTACACGTGGAGCACCTCGCCGGGGTCTCCCTCACAGTCAGGCCCAACTACACGGCTTCAGACTGTTTCTCTGTGAGACAGCATTGTTGTCCCTTCTACCCATTATTTTTAAAGCACAGAGCTTCTTCCAAAAGAGGCCCAGGAGCCCAGAAGCCACTCGGGGCTGCCTGTTAATTTTCCCGTGTGTGCTGCAGGTCGGGCCTTGAGGCTGGGAGCAGGCTGTGGTCCACTCCTGTCCCCTCTGCTGGAGCGAGGCCAGGGTTCGGCAGCTACCAGGTGGACATGGCCAAGCAGGACAGGTGTTGGTGTGGAAGGCCCTTTTACTGAAGAGCATTTGCCCAGCTTCTGCCAGTTGTTCCTGGACTATACTCACGGGTACTCACTCTGCCCTAAAAAGGGGAGCAGTTGTGGCCAGCGCGCTGCACAAAGCCCCTCCTGTCTTCATTGTCTTAGGATTGGCTTACTGTGCTTGGGACCAAACACCAGCAAGACAGGAGGTGCCACAGCTGCCCTCTGCTCCCCAGCTGGCAAGGCCAGGACTGGAGCGCCCTGGAGCTTCCCAGGCTGAGGCTAATATACCAATGGCAGGTGACCTGAGTCTAGTGGTCGTAGCCCTCCCTGAGGCCATCGTAAAGCCCCTTTTGGCAGCCAGGGAACTAGGCTTTGAATGGATCTTTAGCCATCAGTGGGACCAAGGGTATTCCCCTGGAGGATGCCCCATGCTACAGAGGGCGCCCAGCAGGCATGCAGCCACGCAGGGAGCTGCCACACCAGCAGCACACAGCCCTCTCCCGGGTCAGCAGAGGAGGCTAACCCTACCTGCCTGGGTCAGGGAAGGGTTTCTCACAACACCTCATTAGCAGTGCCCACCACACAGACTGGCCTAGAGTCTCCCAGCAAGTTGGCAGCACCACAGGAGCAGCCCCAGTCCCTTGACCCACACAGCCCAGGACTCAACACCATACCACACGTGGCCTTGTCTAGACCCAGTCCTGAGCCAAAGGGAGCTCGTAAGACCTGGTTCCCTCCCTGTCCAGGGCCCTGCCCCTGCCCACAGGTTGTGGACCGCCAGGCCCCAACGGGAGCTGCCACCATCCTAGCCATCCAGCTAGGCCCTGTGCGACCTGGGCTTGCGCCCCATGCGTGATGGTTGGTGGGTGGGTGGGGGCTGAGCCCTGCTTGCACGGGACTGTCACTGTGGATGCCAAAATGGCATAACTGAGATATGGTGAATAAATGACAAATAAAGCCAACTTTTTACAAACTGCTTGATCATGGATCTCGTTTCTGAATTAGACTGTTCTCAAGGAGCTCCTCCAGACATGTCCTGGCTCACCTGGGAGACATCTTGGGCAGGGCTCCCCGCGGCCAGGGGAAGCCTCCTCCGGCTTCTGTCCCTCCTGGTGTAGGAGGACGACCTTGGGCTCATGTCTGTGATGACTTGAGGCATGCTGGCACCTGAGCTGCAAGGCCCGAGGGCTGGTGCAGAGCACTCGCTGCTGTCCTGTGGGCACCCTGAGGCCTCCTGGTCAGCTCCCTGGCCGCTTGGCAGGAGGAGCCCCGACCTTGACACAAGGCGTATAGCCCAGGTAGAAGCCGGGCTTCCAGAGCTGGTTCACTGCCCCGACCTGATCTGGCAATACTCCTAACTACAGCAGTGTCCACCTCACACCAGCCCCCACCCCAAGCTTTTCTGGGATTTCACTCACTTGGCACTCAGCAAGCATCATGGAACCCGTGGGGAAGTGAGCAGAAGCTGCCTCCTCCCAGCAGGGGTTCAGCAGGATCAGTCACCCCACGCTCCTGTGCCCCCTCTGCTGGACACTTCAGTTCATCCTTTACAGCCCAGCTCACTAAGGCTAGAACCAACCAGATGCCCATCAGGAGGGGGCGGGTAAACCAGCACTTCCTCCGGGAAGGATCTAGTGTGGGTAGAGAGTGTCCAGCCCGTGGACCAACAGCGAGGCGAGGGCCAGAGTAGGTCAGGCCCTGCCTGACCCAACCCAGGGCAAAAAGCAGAGGGCCATTTAGGACAGGCGAGCGCAGGAGCAGGCAGCTTAAAGGCTGCGTTCCTGCGGTCTGGACAGCTGCCCGAGGGACTTGGGATTTATGCCTCTGCTGGTAGGACCTCTGCCAAGGTCTAAAGGGGCCTAGACAGGGCAAGTGCGGAGTTTTCAGAGAGAACTGTAGCACAGGGGAGAAGTCTGCAAAGGGTGGCGAGAGCTTGGGCCGGACGGGTTGGGGCACACAATCTGCTGTACCCACCAGACCGCCCGCCGGCTTGCGAGTTGCCATTGCGCGAGGGCCAGCAAAGATTCCCAGCCTGGGCTCTCCAACGCCTGCGCCTCGCGTCTGCCCCAAGTTCTCCTGCCAGTTCCCTCCGCAGAGGTGTCCCCGTTTTGAGGGCACAGGGTGCTATACGCTGTGTGTTCCTCCAAGTGCGTGGCGCAGGAGCCCATGCCCTCCCCGCAGCTGTGGCGTCCCCATTAATCACGCTGCGCTGACGGCGCCGATCTGCTCATGGGCGGCGTGACGGTGACGGTGACGGTGACGGTGGGTGACGGAGCGGGCAATCGGCGGGCGCTCATCGGCCCATCTTATCGCGCCGGCCCAGCCGCCGCCCGCCTCGCGCCGCCCATTGATCGCGCCGGGCCGGGGCCGGGGGTCAGCGCGGGCCGGGCCGGCCTGACAGCCGCATCCATCGCCGCCAAGACACGCGCTGATGGTTGCACTGGCGGCATGGCCCGGCCATTAATCACTGCGCCTGCTGCTGAGTGACGAGGAGGGGCGACGGGGCCAGCGGGGGCGACAGCTGCCCCCTGCAGCCGGTCCACAGCTTGCTGCTCTCCAAAACCCTGAGCCTCCCAGTCCTGCTGTCCCAGCACAAATGTGAAGGGGAGTGGCCTCACACTGAAGTGACCGCACATGGACAGACTGGACACGACTTTGCTTTTCAGGACATCTGCTTCCCAGTGACCAAGAGTGCTGGCGCAGCCTGGCAATACCAGTGCTGGCTGGGACAAGGGGCTGCCTTTTCTCCTCTCCTGCTACGCCAACCTGCTGGGTCCTCACCCAGGCCTTGGGTGCCAGGCACCCAGCAAGGGGAGGACAGGGGTTCTGGAAGTCGGGCCCATGTGTGTATTCGCCCCCAAGGGGACAGGACCCTGAGCACCCAGGTGAAGTTACACAGCATCTCACCAGGTCCTTGCCGCAGTCTGGAGGGACACCCCAGATTACCTATAAAGAAACAGGGCTCTGCCAGGACCCAGGAACAGAGTAGGGACAAAGGAAATCAATACCACAAGTATACACAAATACCACACACACACACTCAGTGCCATGTCCCTGGAACCTGCACTCCTCTCTCTCTCACACACACACCCAGCGCCACGCCCCTGGAACCTGCACTCCTCTCTCTCTCTCTCTCTCTCTCTCTCTCTCTCTCTCTCACACACACCCAGCGCCACGCCCCTGGAACCTGCACTCCTCTCTCTCTCACACACACACACACACACACACACACACACACACACACAGCGCCACGCCCCCGGAGCCTCACTCCTCTCCTACCTGCTGAGAATTGGGCTTTCAGTCTAGCTGGCCCTGAGGTGACAGCTGCGTGTCAACTCCCAACCCCTGTAGGGGTGGACCCTCTTAGAGGAACGGCTGAGAGGCTTGCTGACAAGGGTCACTTTGGCACGAGAACATGGTCTGGTAATCCTGCAACAACATGGCCTACAGAGCCACTGGGGTGGGGAGCGGGGTGGGGGTGACCCCTCGGAGGTGTGTGGGGACAGGGAGCTCTCTGCACAGGGCAAATGAAGCTGGGAAAGGAATTCTCCAGGCAGGCCGAGGGACCCGTCTTTCATGAGCCCTTTCCACCCTCCCGCATCTCTGGGCCATTAGCACAGGAGACAGATGGTTGTGCAAAGACACCTTCTCCGGAGGTGCCCGCCTTCTCCGGAGGCGCCCACCGGCTCGCTCCCGCTGGGGGGCACTCCCGAGAGCCTGGAATATTCAACTGCCTCTCATGACCACCCCCACCACGCCTCACTTTAATATTACAACGATTTTTCAAGCTGCAGCTGAAATAGTGCAAAAAATGGGGCTGCTGTAATTGTTGTTAGATTGTGTGTCAGCCTGATAAGATGTAACAAATATTTCCCTCCCCACCAAGGTCTGTTTCCCTCTTGGTAATGGATGGAGAAACTTCTCATAGTCGGCAAGGGATCGGTCGTAAAAACTTCGCCTAGAAGATTAATGTAATAATCACCAGGCCCTGCTTGGGGGGCGGGAAAAAAAAGGAAAATTAAAATAACCCAACCTTCCTACCTATCCCGAGCTACCTGCCTCGCTCCGGAGCAGAGATACACAAGATGGGAAGCACTGACACAGGAAGTGGGGACTGTGGCTTGGGGAGGGTCAGCTTCCTCACACCTGCGCCTACCTGCCTCGCCTGCCGGGAATGGCGATCTTCAAGCGCAGTAGTCAGTCTCTCTCTCTTTTAACACGTTGGTTACACAATACCATGTCAACTAATTCCATTACGTTACAAATCGTTACTGATGTAATGTTGGGGCTTTTAATTGATTGGGATGATACTCTGTCGGCTCCACCTTCAGACCAGAGATAGTCTCCCTAAGAAACCGTTGAACTTTTCTGGACAATAAGATGCTGGACTCTATGCTTTGTAGATGCTTGCAAAGAAAGAATCTCAACTGAATTGGAACTGTGGTAATGCAACAAGGTGGAGGAATCCACCATGGGGGGGCGGGTTTTGGGAAGGGGAGGGGAGAATCCCAGTGCCTATAAAACTGTGTCACATAATGCAATGTAACCAATAACAACAACAACAACAAAAATGAGCAGCAGCCAGGGCCCAGCACTGTGGCCTAGTGGCTAAAGTCCTCGCCTAGAATGCACCAGGATTCCATAGGGGCACAGGTTCTAATCCCTGCAGCTTCAGTTCCCATCCAGCTCCCTGCTTTTGGCCTGGGAAAGCAGACGAGGGCAGTCCAAAGCCTTGGGACCCTGCACCCATGTGGGAGACCTGGAAGAAGCTCCTGGCTCCTGGTTTCGGATCAGCACAGCTCCAGCCATTGCGGTCACTTGGGGAGTGAATCAGTGGACAGAAGATTTTCCTCTCTGTCTCTCCTCCTCTCTGTATATCTTTGCAATAAAAATAATGAATTCTTACCAAAAAGAATCAGAAAAAAAGAGCAGCAGCTGCCCCCCAGCGGTAGCTCTGCATCCCGAAGGCGGCCTGGCCATGGCAGCCGGGGTTACTGGCCCCTCTCTTACAAGCTGGACAGCACATGACCAGTCCTTCATCCTCCTCACTTACAAAAGTGGGCTCACAGCCTATGCCAATCTCAAGGGGCCACTGTGAAGATGACATGCTAAGCATTAGCTTGGTCCCCAGTACATCTTGGGTATCATGACTCAGTTTTTTCTAATATGGCTTAAGTTGGGAACCAGACACGGGCACAATCTCACAGCAGGCCAGGGTAGGCCAGGCCTGAATACTTGACCCTGACCTTGGGAAGGGCCCTCCCCCATCCACTATGCTAAGAGCTCCCTTGGGAGTCAGTCGAAGGAGAGTCCTGGCAGCTCCAGCGAGAGCTGAGGAGTGCCCTGCTGCCCTGCTGGCCTGCACATCCTAGATGTGCCCATGGAACAACGCCACCCAAGGAAGTGAAGCCTGGCTTGCATGTACACAGGGACATCACTGAGCCCAGCGCAGTGGCCCCAATGGTTAATCTTCCCCTTTCAAGTGCCGGGATCCCATGTGGGCTACGGTTTGTGTGCTGGCTGTTCCACTCTCCATCTAGTCCCCTGCTTGGCCTGGGAAAGCAGAGGAGGATGGCCCAAAGCCTTGGGACCCTGCACCCACGTGGGAAATCTAGAAAAAGCTCCTTTTTTCTGGCTTCAGATTAGCTCAGCTCAAGCCACTGCTGCCATTTGGGGAGTGAGCCAGCAGATGGAAGATCTTTCTGTCTCTCCTCCTTTCCAATAAAAATAAATAAATCTGGGCCTGGTGTGATAGCCTAGTGGCTAAATCCTCACCTTGTATCTCTGGGATCCCTTATGGATGCCAGTTCTAGTCCTGGCTGCTCCACTGCCCACCCAGCTCCCTGCACCTGTGTGGGAGACCCGAAGAGGTCCTCGCTTTAGACTGGCTCAGCTCTGGCCTATGAGGTCACCTGGGGAGTGTATCTCCTTCTCTCTATACATACGCTTTCTAATAAAGGTACATACATCTCT